CCGAGTGCTAAGCAAAGCGCCTACATGAAGATTGCACCCGCACTGCCACGACCTGCCAGGAAGGGGGTGGTAGATAGGTGCTCGACCCACCCTCGCCCGGCGCAAACAGCTCCGTATTGGACGGCAGGAACACAAGGTCAACCGCCAACTCCATCAACTGTTGCCACCAAGGTTGGGCCGTCCAGTACGGCACGACTAGGGTGAGGCACGCTCCCTCCTCGCGCACTTTCTGCACCACAGCGAGCAAGAAGTCGGGGTCCAAGGGTGGGCAGCCATATGCATTAAGCCCTGCCCAAGATTGCAAGAGAGCATTGACCCCCGATGAACCCGGACAATGGTGGCGAGAAAAGAAAACCGGGAGGTGCGTGTTAATATGCGTGGCAAACAAGTCGACATGGTGCGGACCGAAGCGGTGCTCCAAAAGGCGGAAAAACCGGGGATGCAAGCGGTAATCATCACGGTCTACCCAACGCGAGGCTTCATCTGCCTCGTTGTCAGCACTAGCCACACGCTCGACTTGCAGAACAATACTATGTTTCTGCATGAATTCCCATAATAATTTTAGTTCGGCATGCAGAGCTGCCGAGCGCGAAGAAAGACGCCCTAGCACTGCTTGCGTGCACGTGTTGTCCTCCCTAATTAACACAACACGCTGCTGAACGAACGGGAGGAAGGACTCTAAAGCAAGACGGACAGCGCACAACTCCTTCCAATTGATGTGCTCGTAGAGCTCTGGTGCCGACCAATAACCGCGCGCCACACGACCATGCAGGACCGCGCCCCACGAATGGCGTGATGCATCCACTGAAAGCTCAACTGCAGCAGGCCCCTGGTGAACAGCCGCCGAGCAGTGGTGGGTAGGGATGTCCGCCCACCAATCTAAGTCACGTAACGACCCACGGGACAAGCGAACTCGACCGGACCAGCCAACAGGTTGCTTAATGTCGTCGTAAAAATTGCGGAGAAATAAAGGCGCTGGGGTAAGGGCCAATTTGACACTCTGCGCAAAACCACAAAACTTAGCCAGCTCACGCTTCTGTACAAGACGCCGATTTTTCTTTGCCGTGATCCGCAACCCGATCGCCAGCCGCCGCAATTTGGCGAGCTTCTGCTTAGGCACCTCAAACACACCAGCTGCCGTATTGATCGTAATGCCTAAATGGTACACTGACTGCGACGGCTCCCACTGGCACTTGGTGGGGTGACACGACAACCCCAAGAACTCGATACTCTCACGCACCCAGCGCGCACCAAGACGCGCTTGCTCCTCAGAACTAAACACGAAGAGGAAGTCATCCAAATACGGCAGCACTCGCGCACCCGGACGAGAAGGACGCCCTGTCCGGGAAACGGGAAAAAACTGGTGGGGCGGGAGCGGGGGCGAGAGACGCTTGCGACCTTTACCCGACGCAGCCAAAGGATCCCGCCAAAAACGCACCACATTGCGCATGATTTTTGTAAACCAATACGGGCTATTTAGCCACCCCATAGGCAGGGCGTTCATCTCGTACAGAACACCACAAAAACGAAAAGTGAAGAAACGCCGATCCGCTGGGCGAATAGGGATGTGGTAAAAGGCGTCTGCCAAATCCACCTTCACCATCCAAGAGCCCTCGAGGCCCATACGCCGCAGGGTGCGGAGGGTTTCGTACCGGCACTTGTAAGCTTTCTGCGCTACGTTCATCCTCTTCAAGTTGACGACCAAACGCCAAGAACCACTGTCCGGTTTCGGGACACAAAAAGCGTTCACCACATGATCAACCGCACGGGAGGGGTCTACCCGCGAGATGGCCCCGAGCGCCACCAGGCGAGGCTCCTCCTTCTCCAACCACCAACGGCTCTGCTCGTCTGTAGCAGGAAAACTTGGCAGGTCAAAAGCAGGCGGCGGGCGGTTACCTCGAAACTCCACCGGGACACCATGCTTCAAGACGTGCAATGTGCGCGCATCTGCTCCAATTGCCTTCCAAGCGGCCAGCCGCGCCGAGGCCCTAGCATGCAGGGGCACGGAGGTGGTGGACATATCGGACTACTCGTGCTGCCCCGGAAACTCCACGCCTGGGGTTGTAGAGCCCGTCGCCACGCGGAAGGGATGGGACGAAGCGCACACATAGCCACCACCGGTGTGGGCGGACGTCGATTTCCTGATCCGCTGAAGAGCAAACCTTCAGCGTCGCGCCCAAACCTCGGGGATGAGCTTGATGAAATACGTCGTCAAGAGGACATTTAGTGTTGTAGCTGCAGGGGCAAGCTTGTTGGGTCCGGGGTGGGCGGGAGTTGTTGACCCGCTCCGGAGAAAGCAGGGGGCATAAACTGCGTCGCAGAAGCCCTCGAGGAGATGCCAGTCTGTGACATTCCAGTTAGCTATGTAGGATAGCTGTGAGTTGCCTCCACCAGCGGAGTCATGCCTAGCGATACCGGGACATGCGCCGCCACTAGCACTACTAAAGGTGCTTCAATAAGGTGGGCTAACTCTATGGTGCTAGTGCTTTATATTCTCCACTGCACTCTACCCGATGGGTCTCGCTGACGAGCCGAAGGCACAGCGGTGTAGTAACAGAAAGCGCGCCGAAGGCGCGGGACCTGTTTTGTTGATCAGCGCGCGCTGAACAACAAAAACAAGATAAGCTAATCAGCTTAATGCGCGCAATAAATGACGGCCCTGAGGACACGGGCCGTTGCGAAACAGTTAGTCTAACAGTTACGCATTGGGCCTTACGCCCAACTAACCCAGCTTACTTAACGCAAGCTCGCAGTATACGTACGTGCCAGTATGCACATTGTGCAGCTTCTAGCAAAGGGATTGAGCGTCATTTATTATAGCGTAAGATTACGGCAGTGGTCTTGGTGCGCTACCTAAATTCCGCTACCCAGCCGCCAAGAATCTCTGAAACGTCACTCAACAAAGCGCTAATTGTTTTACAATTAAATAGATATGTAATACATATAGGACTTTAATGGTGTATCGATGTGTTTTGTGATACCGGGACGCTGTTCATGAAGTGAATGGAGCGAGTTTACAGCAAGCCATGGGCTGAAACATCTTTGTATCTGCTCATAACATTTCTGCTAAACGTTTTACCTGGTCTAAGATGCCGGCTGAGCTCTGCGTGTGGTAATCATTACGGAGGCGAACAACTTCCCACATAAAATAATGTTGTCTCGGTTAATCTTTTGTTGATAATCTCTACTGTTAATTTGAATCATTCCAACCGTAAACCTATGTTTTTGCCTTTTTGCTTCGGTAGGCGTTTCGGTGCATGTCCGCCTTGCGTTGCGGTTTGCAAGTTGTACACATTTACTCTGCGCTATTATCATGGCATAGCCGATATCAGTGTATAGGTGAATTTGCGCAGGGCCTTAGTCGCCAAGCGGCTAGGAGTAGACCTTGCCGACACATGACGACGTTGACGCCATGCGGACCAGAAAGCAAGGAAGGATATTAATCCTGATACCTGAAACATTGAGACAGACCTGTCCGCATGATTACCTCAAAGTTCACCTGGCTATCGAGCGGGACGAGAAGATAAAGCAACATCCACCTGTTCGGCGTGCGAATCTTGGTGCAAATCTTCCTGATCCCGAATCGAATCTGAGCAGCTCGCTATCGCTTCATATGAACTCAACATCGGTATCATACATTACGCTCCAGCCAATTGAGAGTGTACGCAGTTAATTTTATCATTGGTGGGCGGCGAGGTTGTCGGTACGGTCGAGCAGTTCCTTGTCGTACCTAAAAGTCGGCGCGACAGCCTTGTCGGTCCATTGTTGATCACTCTAAAGCCAGGGCAAGTGAAGATTATTTTACGCCGAACCCCACGGTTTTGTTGCAGGCGTCGTGGCGGAACGTACCTGACATGGGAAACACACGACCCAGTGCCCCAGAGCGGTTGCTGTGGCAGGCAGAGGCATTACCCCGCAAACATCGTGCAGCATACCTTCCAACCCACAAATTGTGTGCGTTGTACGTAATGCCGTAAGGAATACTTAGCCAAAAGACCGACATACGGATACTTGCTGGTAGATGGACCGGTGTTGACATAATCCACGTGTTCAAGAGGTGGTTGTGCTAGCATTCCATAATAAGGAAGCGTGCTAACTTCATCCCACTTGCTTTTCTTACAGCCGTTAACATAAACTAGTGCTGTTTACGGACCTGAGTTCGTACCACGGAATGTAGGAATTATTAAGACAAAATAACGCCGTTTGGTCCGATGCGCATTCTAATTTGCGTCATATCAGACCCTGCTGGGCTACTTTTGTCCCTTGCTCTACTCATACGCACATAAGATACAATCGACGACACCAAACGCTGCCAGCGTAGGAAAACTTCGCTTCCAAGGATTTGCTCAGGTAAATCAATGTGAAGGATTTTCTTGTCATTTGTATCATTCGGATGTGGATGTCGGACGTATTTACGGCCAACCGTCGCTCATTTCCGTATGACAGCCAAAACTGTTTGTGTAATCTCGGGAATTGTGCAAAACGACAAGAAAATTGTTAAAGCGTTTAATCTTCTCATTGATGAATTTATGTCTGCTACCTTAGATACGGCTTGCGCCCCACTCTTTCTGCTCCTTACGTCCTGAAGGTCTCTCAGAGGCAAGCAAAGCTAGAGTTCTTACGTGATATCGAATTTTACTTTATGGATGCTAAATTCAAAGCTTAGGAGGTACCGCTAACGTTTTGCGGCTATGCCGGCCGTGCAGTGTCCGGGACCAAGGTTCGTAGTCGACAAGCTTATGCTCAGAAGACTGCGTGCCCAGTAATGGGACAGCTTCGAGAAGCCGTGCAAGAATGCCGGCTGGAACGTGCTGACGTGGTGGACACTGACCATAATCAGCAGCCACGCGGCCGGGACAACGTTTCAGCTCCGGCAGTGGATGACCATGTAAGAGGTCTAGGTCACTTGACGTCAGAGGTCGCGTCGAGCTGGGCCCGCCCTCTCTCACGACAAAATGTCATGTCATTTGTGATGTGGGTTCTTTTTCCGCTTTCAGGTGTACGATTACGTGCGAACCCTGGCAGAAGGTTCATATGGCGATGTACATGAGTGCATTCACGCTGCATCCGGGCAGCGAGTAGCCATTAAAAGGTTTAAAGCAGCGCACCTCGATCCCCAGGTCAGACGCACCGTTGCGCCCCATAGCCGAAACGTGATGGTATTATGTATGTGGACATTTTCCCATTTAACGGGAGCTCCAAAAACTGTATCTGATAACCAAACTGCTGTACTGGCTGGTTACGAAATGCTTGGAATTGTCATGCTGCTCTGAAGTTCTGTATATTTTTTGCTGTCCAGACTTTCTTCAACCTTCTTTCATTGCAATCCTAACCAACTCTAGCTCTCATCTTGATCTGCAAACTTATACTTCCTCGTCCCAGATTTGGCGTCTAGCCATGCGTGAGCTGCGAGTGCTGCAGACGCTGCCCAGTCACCCAAATATTGTGCAGCTGAAACGGGCAGTCTGCAGTCAGTCATCTGGCCGCCTCTTCTTTGTATTTGAGCTTTTGCACGGAAGCCTTCTAGGGGTAAGCTAAGCCAACCTTGCATGTTCCGTACACACAGTCCGTATATATCGTGCGCCTTCCCATGCCATGCCTGCATACGAAAGCCTTCAAATTACTGCTGCACAAAGTACGATTGCAGCATGGCACCCATGACAAACGAGCGTGCACGCTTGCTTACTGGTTGCACACGCTCAGCAACGTGCATGGCGATACACATGCATGCATCTTACCTGCACATACACGAGCCTCGACAAGCATGTGCGAACGGGAGGCCGTATATGCATTGACACTTAAAAGAAAAATGTCTTCGCCAGCGTAACCCCCAGCGCGACAGAGCAAAACAGGGCAAAAAACGAATACCTCCTCGTACGTGCGTTTCCTAATGAGGCACTCTAGCACGCGAGGTCGCTAGGTGGCAATACCCTTTCTCCAAAAATTCGTACGGACCGCGATATCCGGAGGGGGATCCGACATGTTTGGAGCCACTACAACTCCAGCTTCAAGTCATCCCTGGACGAACCGTCCTAAAGACACACATACACACATACACACACAGCCGTCCTCTCTCCCCCCCTTTTCCCCAGGAGTTGGGTCGTCACCCCGGGGGCTTCCTCCCCCCTGGACCCCTAAAGCACGTGGCTTGGCAGCTGCTGCAAGCACTCGCGCACTGCCACGATAACAAGGTGCGTGTGGTGAGGGGAAGGTGGGTAGCAGAAGTAGTAGTGGGAGGTTAGGTAGGGGCCAGGACCAGGTCATTTGCCTCTGGTCAGTTGTCGGTTGTCGGTTGTCGGTTGGGGATCCAAGGAAAGGGCGCAGGGCGACCATACCTCTGCCCGGCCGACCCGATTGCTCCAAACCGAACACTCCAAACACCCCCCCGCAGCGGTCGCTCGCATGGCGGACTCAATATGGACGAGACACAATTCAGACGGGGCCACCGCCAAACATGCACCGCCACCTCCATGCAGTGCTGGCAGCTGCAACTCCCGCTGCTAACCGCTGCCTCAGTTGTAAAACTGAAAACCTTGGTAGCGCAAGCGTCACTCGCGCCCTCGGGCCATCCCGAAACTTAAAAAACTTGCCTCCCATGTTATGGTGTGAGGAGCGCAGCTGACGCCCCGAAACCACCCACCCTATCGTCCTTCCGGCTCCGAATCCCGCTGGATGCAGGTCGTACACAGGGACGTGAAGCCTGCGAACGTGCTCCTGAGCAACGAATTACAACAACAGCAACCGTCAACTGCCGACGCGGAGCATGGTGGTGGTTGTGGTGCTGTTGCTAGCCACTCGGTTGTCAAGCTCTGTGACTTTGGATTCGCACGATGGCTGGCCCCGGGAGCACCTAGAGCGGCTGGTGACGACAAGTCACCCACCTTCAGCTCGAATTACAATACCGGGAACAGGGAGGGGAAGGGAGAATCCCAAACACATAAGAGGGGAGCAGCACTCACGCAAATGCAGGGCATCCAGTCAAAGGGCGGCCAGACAACGAACCGAGGCTGCGGTGGTGCACCCCCCCATGTCGCCACCATGTCCGCCTATGTCGTGACTCGCTGGTACAGACCGCCAGAGGTACGGCAAGAGGAAGATGTACGGCATAGCGTATATGTGTCGAAGCACATTATATATTTTTTGCTACTGCATAGGAACGACGTACTGCTCCGCGGCCCTTCTCCGCATGCATATCGCGATGGGGATCTGTCCCCCCGGTTTGAAACCAGGTTTTGGGGGATAGCAGAGACGCATGTGCAGACATGCTTGGATGCTTTGTTTCGAGTCGCGGATGGTATTAAATCTGTCGCTGCTGCAGTTGCTGCTGCTGCTGCCGATGATAATGATAATGACCATGACTGTGATCATAATCGACGCATTCATGATAATCCCGAACTGACTCTGCCCATTTCGCGCCTGTTTCCCACCATACAGGTCATCGTGGAAGACTTGTACGGCACTGCCGTGGATATATGGTCGTACGGCTGTACAATTGCCGAGCTTGCCAGCGGCCATCCTCTGTTTCCCGGCTGTTCTTCCGCCGACCAGCTCTGGCGCATCAGTCGCTGTTTGGGACCCCTGCCCGGGGGACTGCTGGCGAGGTGCCGGAGGGACTCAGCACTGGAGCCCGTGGTGGCGATGGCGCAGAGTGGGGAGAGGGGCAGGACGCTGGCGCAGAGACTAAGGGTGAGGGCGGGTAGGGGTGTGTGTGGATGGGTTTGCGGCGGGTACCGGTGGTGCTGGTGGCGGGGCAGGGCAAGGGGAGTTCTGAGTAAAGTGGGGGATGTTGAGGGGGAGCTTCCCTTCAGACCTTAAGTGGCCGAGGCGCCACGACAACAGCACGGCGGCGAACTGACCATGCGTGAAGAACGTCGTCGGTCGAACAGATCTATAGGACGTTATATCCCTGTCCAGGATGCCGTACGAGAGCTGTATCTTCCCCTTTCACCCTCCAAGCTAACCCCCCCAGAACCAGGCCTCGTCGAAATTCCTCTCACCCCCTCCCCACTTTCCTCTCAACTCCCTCCCTCAGGGTGTGCCCCCGCCCCTGTTGGAGCTCATTTCGTCGTGTCTAGCGCTGGATCCGTCAAGACGACCCACCGCCCGAGAACTTATGCAATTGCCGTATTTCTGGGATGTACAACGTCCCGTACTGCCGGTAACACCTGTGACATCGACACCGCGGCCTGCGGGACGGCAGGCAGTGCTGAACGTGCCGCCAACCGCCCCTGCCGCCGCTACAATAGCAGCAGCAGCAGCAGCCGCTACTGCCACTGCAGCCGCGGTTGCGCAAACAGGGTCTGCTGCTGCCGCTGCTACAGTCACTGCTACCGCCCCGGTGACCTGCCTCACGAACGCACTCATTGCAACCGCCCCGGAAGCTAATGCGGCAGGAGATGCGTCCAATGAGTGTACTGCTGTGTCGTACAGCGGCGGCGGTGAAGCCGTCGCATCTATTGCCGAATACGGCATGGCTACTGCCGCCTCTAGCAAAAGCGTAAAGGCTGCTGCACAGCGGCCAACGCTAGCAGAACCTTACTTGCGCCGTTCGGCCACTGGGATTGTACGGTGCGTCGCACCGACTGCTGTTGTACACCCGTACGGCCTCCCAGCGACGGCGACGGGCGTGACAACGGGGAATATTGACACTGGCATGGACAGCGTTCGCCGGGGTTTTGCTTCTCGCGCGTCTAGGCTGGTAGCCACCATCGCCACCACCTTTGGCGGTGGCGAAGATGCACAGCGCCGTTTTAGCGGCTCCTTCCTGCCTCGCGGCCATGGTGGCGGCGGCGGCGGCGGTTCCAGCGCCACCACCTGCACCGCCACCACCGCCTGCAGTGCCGGTACGACAACGACAACGACGACGACGACGATGACCATGACGACGGCACCGTCGACGGCACAGCGCGATACGCACGGCGGCCATGTCACTGGCTCTCTGAGCCAGAGCAGTGCACAGTTAAGTGCGAGTTCATCAACTCGGCAACAACATCATCACCATCACCATCAGCAGCAGCCGCAGCTTCTGCAGCGATATCCCCAGCAGCTTCAGCAGCAGCAGCAGCAGCTGCAGGTGATGCGCGATGCCCCGCACACCAAGCCCGAGTTGCTGCCTTGGACTGCTGCTTTTGCAGCCCTCACATCCCGCAGATCACAGACGGTTGCCACGCTAACGCCTTTTGCCTCGCCCGCAGCGGCGGTGGCCATCCCCGCCAGCACTGACGGTGTAACTGACCCACGGGTCATGCCCAGTAATCTTGTCGCCGAGTCCGAGGCTATGCGCTCTGCTATCGGTGCCTTCTTCGAGGAATCTCGACAGCAGGATCCAGATCCGATGGATCAGATGATCCTTAGTGAGCCGCTGTGCCGTACATCGACGCCGGGCGACGCGGCCTGGGACGTCGTAACGTTGGATGCTGCCGCCATAAACCGAAAACTGGCTCGAGATTGCGTGGCAAGGTCATGGCTGGGAAGCAAGAAACGCACTGAGCATATGCGGGCAAGGTTCGCCGCGCCGGCGGCTGCACCAGGGCCGCCGCCGCCGCCGCCGCCGCCGGGCCCGCTGATGCCGGCTATGCACTGTTACCTGCGCACTAAGCTGGAAGGCCAAGCCAGCGCCTTAAGTTCCACAACCACTCTTTCTGCCGGTCAATTCTCCACAATATGCAGCCCTGCTGGCGTGCCATCGCCGTCCACCATTGCAAAATCGCCACGGTACGACAATGACAGGGTCGCGGCGGCGGCACCGCTGACATCACTGCTGCTCCAGCGCGGCACGCGGGCAGAGCCGATTCCTGTTGGGCGATGCGCTCGGTTCCGCCCGTCAGCAGCGGCGGCGGCGGCGTCTCTGACGGCGGCTGATGTGGGCCTAGGGTCCACGTGCCCAGGTTTACTAAGCACTGGTGGCGGCGCCGGGCCCGGCGGGGGCGACTCAGGTACAATCACGCCGGCAGATTTCCTGTTGACGTCGACGGCAGGGCTGCGGCTGGCAGGCCTTAGCGCCTACGATGAGAGCGGTGGCGGCGGTTGTATTGCCTCTGTCTCCACCGCTACGCTTACGTCATCCCGTCAGCTGCGTTGGCGGCCGCCGCGGGCCGCCACGGCACCCCCCAACACCCTCCCGGAGGGGCAGCCGGAGATGCTACAGCCGATACTTCCCAACTTGCTGCCGGGCCTTATGACCAATGTCACGTGTGACTCTAAGGAGTTGCAGCCCGTACGCGTCCCCTTGGGCAGTTCGGCGCGGCGGCGCTGGAGCACGGCTGCCTCCACCACCGCCGCCGCGGCCGCCACTGCGATGGCTCCCCCGTCCTGGATTGCCTCCGACACCGAGTGGTCCGCGGGTAGATGCTACATCTCAAAACGTACGGCACCAGGTCCAGCTGTCAGCACAGGGGGTAGCACCATGGGCACCAATAACCGCGTCTTTGTCTGTCCGGGTGCACTTAAGACACATGGGAAGGCCGCGGCGGTGCCGGCGGCGGTGAAGGCTTCCGCTACAGAAGGGTGTTGCAGCGCAATAGGAAGCACGGCAAGTGACACACCTAGTACGGCAGGGCGCCCAGGGTATCACCCCTTGCATGGCACATTCAAGAACCGCAACAGTGGTATCAGTGATGGCGGCGACGTTTCCGCCAGCGGCAACACCTCTTGTAGTGGCGGCGGCGGCGGTGGCGGTGGCGGTGGCGACGCGACAAACATCGCGGAGCGGAATGTTAGTGGCAAGGCGCCTCGCCGATTTGCTCGGGCTTTCCAGGTGCTCAAGCGGCGGGTGCGGAGTCTCAAGGCAAAGGCGCTAGCCATGTTTTGAGCCCTAAAACCTGCCTGACCCCCTGCTCTTGCGATCCAGGAGTAAGGTGGCCGTAAACCGCCGGCCGCTGTGCTGTGGGAAACCGCGCGCAAAGGGGCCTAGCATGTATGTTGGGGAGAGAGGGACGTGCAGAAGCGATGAGCACAAATGATGCACGTGCAGGCCGGCCGGCTATGTGACAACAAGACGATGAAGTTGATGTCCAAGAGAGTGATAACACGCGCAAAACCTTCGGGCTCTTGTCATGTAGAGACTCGTATTTTGGCTGCATGAAGATTTGGGTGGGAAGATGGCTTCCCGTGCAGAAGGACGCATAGCAGGAGCACTTGTAGCAATAATTTCAGTAATACTGCTTATGCGCCCTGCGCATAACTACAAATCGAACTTGCCTTGCTGTCGGTGCTGTTGCGTGGGTGTGCTGGTGCTGGTGTTGGGGGTGCTGGGGGTGCTACTGGAGTGACATCTTATGTGTTTGCGTTTGCCCTTCCTGCGTTCCGTTTGTTTGTCGGTATGTATGTATGTATGTATGTTTGTTTGTTTGTATGTCCTTCCGCCCATGGCGTTCCTTTCAAATTCCCATTCCGCAACACCAAACTCGTATTGCCTTTTTTAAGCTTTCAGTAATCGAAATTTGGAGCATGATGCTGTACATACCTGTATACGAAACGGGACCTGTAATCCAGGCAATGGTATATTGGTAATTTAGGCTGATGGGCGCATCGCGCGCAATACCGCGGAGTCAGAGTAACGTTCTGCGCACATCTTGCGTTGTTCTATTGCGACCAAGAGTACAGCGAGAACGAGAACGAAGTTGTACCTCTAGCTGTTCGATCTATTGGTCGATCGGTAGAATGACGGATCGACAGAGACGAGGCGAAGAGGGCGTCTTCATTTGTAGTGAGGTATGGACGCCCTCATATACCTGGGGCCGATCGAAGAGGGTCGAAGCGATAAGTTATGCGCGAGCACCAGGGCCGCACTAATCGATTGAGAGGAAGGGCCAACGGTGATTTTGCTAGGGTAGCTTGTGTTGGACGTTGTTTGGTTAAGTTTTGTTTGTGATGAAATACCGATGGCGATGCGAAATGGAGCCGGTTCTGTAGTAGCTGTCGCAGATGCAAGGTTTTATGCACCGGGTTCGAACCCTCTCCTCTGATCCTGCCTGTTGTTCTCACCAGTTGTTTTTGCTCCAACGCGTCGCTGCACTATTCAGTTATTATGGCAAAGCGAAGCAAAGCCAGTTTTCGTGTCTTGCTGCGCGCACTACTTCGCTTACAACGCTGCTTTGCGACAATTTCGCAAGAAATTTATGTTTAGAATGAACCTGTATCCCTTGCTTTTGACAAAATCAAAGTTGATGTTTGTCGGCTATGTGGATGCTGCTAGCTTGGCTTGTCCTGTCCTCGTCAGCTTCGCCTGTCAGTAAGCTTTGACCTCCTGCTTAATTATTTTTTATCGTTGCCTCTTGGCATTGCTGTGACAATGCTCCCCCTGTGCGGTAGCGACTTTTTGATGCCTATTATGCAGCTAGGGGTGACCGATGTAAGGGCAACTACAGGACATCATTTCGGTCGTAATGGTGGTTGTGATGGCGATGGTTGTGATGTTGGCGATGCAGACGGTTGTGATGATGGTTATAGCAGTTGTTATGACGGTGATTGTGCCAGCTTTGGGCGATCTCCGCCAATATAACTGGGCGTGATTTTTCCTTGGATGAGGCCTTTACTGTGAGGGTCCGTAATGTGCGACTGCGGGCCATATACGTTTGATT